TGGTATATTTTCTTTCCTTGTCTTTTTGCTTTTTCTGCTAGCAGCCTCAGTATCAGGATTTGGTGTATGGTACTTCTGTCCTTCCTAAATCCTGCTTGTTCTTCCGAGAGGTACGGATCCAGTTGCTGCTTGAGTCTGTTTAACAGCACAATCAGTAGCACTTTCCCTGTGTGGTTGATGAGAGAGATCGTTCGATAGTTTGAGTACTCGCTGAGATCTCCTTTCTTAGGTATTGGTACTAGGATCGATTTACCCCACTCTTCGGGGATTGTACCTTCGTGCCATGCTTTGTTACAGAGTTCGTAAATGTGCCGTGCTAGCTGCTCTCCTCTAGCTTGTAGCATTTCAGCTGTGATTCCGTCTAATCCTGGACTTTTGTTTCTTTTTAGTGTGCGTATTGCTTCTTGTACTTCAGAGTATAGGATATCTTGGGGATTTTCGTTGTTAGGTGGTGCAATCCCCTCAAGTTCTTTTACCACCCTGTCTCCTCCTCCATGATCCTTGTAAAGATTACTGCAATACTGCGTCCATCTTTGTTTAATCTCGTCCTTTGACTGTAGTAGGGATGCACCAATTCCAATTCCAACCAATCCCAATTCCAATTCTTGGCTTGGAATTGGCGGAATTGGTTGGAATTGGAATTGGAATTGGTCGGAATTGGTCGGAATTGGAATTGGAATTGGTTGGAATTGGTTGGAATTGGAATTGGAATTGGTCGGAATTGGTTTGGAATTGGTCGGAATTGGTTGGAATTGGTCGATAATTGGTTAGGGTCGATCTAGAATCGGTCGAAGTTAGTCAAGAATGGATCAAGATTGATCAAGAACTGACTGGAATTGGTGTAGAATTGATTTATAATTCATTTATAATTGGTATGCAGTTAATTAAGAATTGGTTGAAATTCTTATGGGATTAGCATTGTTTAGAAAATTTTCTGTCTAATGTGAATGTTCACATGATACTTTACATAGTACTATAAAAATATCTTCGGATATGAAGAAAAAGTTTTTTTTCGAAAATTTCTCCTAGGGGGTAGGAGGATTTTGAAGATGCATTTGTTTCAAAAATCCTGGGGGATGCACTCTAAAAGAAATCCGTTTTCTCGGAAACCTATACAAGGTTTCCGAGTTTGTCACTATATGAAACCCTTTATAGGTTTCCGAGAAAGGATTTTCGAGTTCTCGCAAACCCTTAAAAGCAATTAAAAAACCTCAAGATCCCGGAAACGCATTAGAGATTTCCGAGGCTTTGAAAACCTTATATAGCTTTCCGACAGCTACTCACAATACGACTCACTGATCTATATCTGTCGCTTTATTGTAACCGCTTATTCTGACCCCTAATCTAAGTCTTTAATCTATATCTATCTCCTTACTCTATCGCCTAAATGTATCCCCTGAATCTAACTCCTTAATGTAATCCCTTATTCTATCTCTTATTCTATCATTTATTCGATTCCCTTAATCTAATCCCTTATTCCATCCCTTATTCTATCCCTTATTCTATCGTTTATTCGATTCCCTTAATCTAATCTCTTATTCTATCCCTTAATCTAATCCCTTATTCTAATCCCTTATTCTATCATTTATTAGATTCCCTTATTCTTATAATCCCTTAATCTAATCTCTTAATCTAATCCCTTATTCTATCCCTTATTCATTCCCTTATTCTAATGCCTTATTCTATCCCTTTATTCTATCATTTATTCGATCCCGTTATTCTAATCCCTTATTCTATCTCTTATTCTATCCTTTATTCTGACTCATCAGTCTAATCCCTTATTCTAATACCTTACTCTACTCCCTTGCTCTAATCCCTTATTCTAACCCCTAATCTGACTCCTCAATCTATATCTATTCCCTTATTTTAACCCCGCAACCTAACCCCTTATTCTAACCTCTAATAGAAGTCCTGAATCTATATCTAACCTCTCATTCTATCCTCTTATTCTAACCCCTTATCTGATCGTCTTATTCTAAGTCTTTATTCTACACCTATTTCCTTATTCTAACCGCTTAATCTAACTCTCGTATTTTGATTTCAATTTCAATATTGATGAACATGTATTCATAGTATAAAGAGACAAGAAAAGCTCCTCAATATAAACTCATGGATTTCGTCGAAGCCCTTCGGTGTTATGTCTGTTAAAGCGAATACTCTGAAACTAGTGAAAGTCTCCAAGTGTATATGACTGTTAGATCCAGAGTCATATTGTCAGCTGAAATCCTAAAGTCTTTAAATCTGTCAAGGACTTAGACATGATATCAGTCAAAGTGCTGAATCTTATGAAAGATAGAGACATGAACTTAATGGAATCGCTCAAGTGTTCCGTTTTCCAAATTCGCGGTCATGAAGTTAGTGAAATTGGTAGAAGTTGGAAGTCTCCTAAATAGAATGTCATTAATTTAGTCTGAATTCTGGGGTATTTATGTCTCCTATGACCGGCGTCGTACTGTCAGTCTTGTCGCTATAGTCTTCATGTATTCCTCCGAAAGGCTGATTGAAAAAGTTAGTCTTAATCTTGTTGTCTTCCTGTATTTGAAAATCATAATCACAAAGTCAGCCTTAATCATGGAGTCGTTGTCTTTGTTTTGAGCAAGAGTCGTAAAGTCAGTCTTGTGTCTTGGAGTCTTGAAATCTCTTAAAGCTGCCGTCATGAAGTCAGTTTAAGTTTTTATGTCTTCATGTGTCTTGACGCCATTGCCGTGAAGTTAGTGAATGTCATTAGGTCTTAAATCCTGTCGAACTCAGAGTCATGAAGTAAAGTGGAGTCCTATAGTCATGAAATCGTTTTGTCTAGTGAAGTCAAAGTTTTTAAGGCAGTCTGATGTCTGGTGTCCGTATTGCTATCGAAAGCAGAAAGTTGATGTCGTTTGGAGTCTTGGGGTCTGTAGTTTCGTTATCGTTGAAATGTAGTTTTCGTGTTCTCGTTTTTTGCTGACCTTTTAGCGGATCAGTCGTGGAAACTATATCCTGCAGTGGGAAGAAATAAATATTTATCGTTTTTTTGAGAATGCTTCCAAGATATTTTACGTTGTTTATGTGTTCAAATAGATGATTCAGAAACACGTCAACTTATTTTTGAAACAATACTCCATGGCATTCTCTACAATAGGTGAACACAGAAATTCTTGTGATTTGTGCTAATAGATTTGAAGAGAGCTAAAAGGAAAGGTGTATGAGAGTCTATAGTGTCTCATTGTCCAGAATTTGTTTTTTTCTTCAGCTAAACAACAATCACATTTCGCAGAAGTTTCATTCTTACCGACTATTTTTGAATATCAAGATGCTCACTTTATCGAGATGATGGTATGCAGAAATGAGTTCTTTTACATTTGATTTGATTTATATAGTAAATGTGTATTTTTAAAGCGTTTACATCGATATTAAAGTGGGAAACTACAACATCTGATACATCTTTTCTTTTAGCTCTCTCCAAATCTGCTAACACAAGCCAAGAGAATCTTTTTTTTGACTATTGTACAGAAGATCAGGACGCATGCTTTAAAAAGAATTTAGATTTTATCATTAACGTTTGTGGAGATATGTGGGGAATAGATGATGTTGCAAACATTCCGAGACACTCGGTCTTTGTTTTACATTCTCTCGCAAATGAAGATTTCTTCATGTTTACTATCGTTCCTCTTCTATCACTCTTTTGCATAAATCGGTTCAAAGCATCCTCAAACGGCCGAAACTTGCACTATATTCGTTGCAATCTGTTGACAAAGATGATAATACTGGTACTTGAATGAAACAGAAGTGATGGAAGAAGGAGAAAAACGACATTCTTTGAATGACCTGACGATTTTGCGCAGCTCTTCGATCCTCCCACCAAAATTTGTCATAATCCATTCAAGTTTTTAGGTACTGAAAGATGTAAAAACGAGTCGAGATTTTCTTGGAAACAAAGTATTTTTTTGAATTCTCAGAGTTGTAATGGTTTTACACAACAATTCCATATAAATTGAAAAAAGTTTATATCATGTATGTCGAGCAATTCCTAAACCTCTACAATAACGATGGAAACATGAAAATCAAAAAGAAGATATCCGAATGCTATTTTGATAGTTCAGAGTACTGGATAGGTTTCCGAAATTTTTTCTCAGAAACGCAAGAATTGACCGAAGACTCGGAAACCCTTCAGGATTTTCGAGACATGTTCTGAAACCATGCTTGATTTCTTGGAAACGCTTCCACCGTTTCCGGTGCCCGGAAACCCAAAAAGGTTTTCGATAAAAAAATATCGAAAACGCAAAGGTTTTCGAGAAGGTTTTTAAATAAAAAAGCGGTTTTCAAAAATAGCACCGGGGTTTCTGAGAATACGGTTGAGGGTTTTTGGACCTATCCTTCGAAATCCCATAGGTTTCCGGATGCTCGAAAGCCCAGAGGGTATTTTCAAAAACTTAACATGAGTCCGGAAACCTTTTCGGATACGTTTATGGGTTTTCGAAAGGGTTTCTGAAGGGATTTCGGTTTCTGAGAAAACGTTTTTTTTTAGAGTGTGGTAGCGCAAATTTTTGAAAAAAGCTTTTTCTTCATATCCGAAGATATTTTTATAGTACTATGTAAAGTATTATGTGAACATTCACATTAGACAGAAAATTTTCTAAACAATGCTAATCCCATAAGAATTTCGACCAATTCTTAATTAACTGCATACCAATTATAAATGAATTATAAATCAATTCTACACCAATTCCAGTCAGTTCTTGATCAATCTTGATCCATTCTTGACTAACTTCGACCGATTCTAGATCGACCCTAACCAATTATCGACCAATTCCAACCAATTTCGACCAATTCCAACCAATTCCGACCAATTCCAAACCAATTCCGACCAATTCCAATTTCAACCAATTCCAACCAATTCCAATTCCAATTCCGACCAATTCCAATTCCAATTCCGACCAATTCCAACCAATTCCAGGAATTGGAATTGATTGGAATTGGAATTGGTGCATCCCTAGACTGTAGCATTGTGCCTTCTTGACTTCATACCACATTTAGTCGAGGTACGAATTTCTTTTTCAGCATTTTCATTAGACTGTATGCTTGCCTGGTGTTTCCGATTTTCAGGCCCTTTTCGACTTCCTCGCATTGTTCTTCAATCCAGTGTTCCTTGTCCTGTCTTGCTGATTTTTTTACTTTTTTGCATATGTCTTTGTATCGTTGTGCGTGCTCTGTAGACGTGCCTTTTAGCAGCTTCAGTTTTCGTTTTTCATCTGCTAGTTTTAGTGTCTGCTCGGAGATCCAGGGTTTCTTGGTTATTTTTCTAGCAGGTACAGTTGTTTCTATTGCTTCTTTGATTGCTGCTTCTATTTTTACTGCATGTTGTTCTAGATTGCATGCTGGTTGAATATCCTCTATGTTCTTGGCTAGTC